TTCAGTAAAAACAGTTATGTCAAACATCTTCCTGCTAATGATCATGTCTAATTTCTCTATTACTACGTCTTATCACCGTGTATGCACAGCTAAATTTTTGAGGTTCCTATATTCTTTGTATTTGCACATTACAGAGTACCTAATCCATGAATTTCAGTTCTAGGAATACGTATCGATATGAGTCCCTTGACCGTCTTTTCTTTAGCTGTAAGTTAAGTATCTTCAGAGCATGCGTAAGTCCAAGAAACCCAGAAAACTGATTTTTCCCTCACCATCAAGAAAGAAATTGCTGCAAAAGTCCTCGCCCACTCTGAGAGATGGTCTCATGCTACAGGAAACAGGTCACACTACCCATCAGGCCACTGACTCATTTACTGCATCTTCCATCTTCGTTCTTATGCTTTTGGAGTTAAGAAATGTCACTGAGAAGGTCCTAACCCGTTTTTGTCTCCAACTACCTTTAGAAGTCCTGGAAGCCTCTAAAAGTATGTCATCTATAGCCACATCATTCCAGTCATTGCCAACTATGGCTAGTCTAAACAGGCTTTGTCTATCTATATAAATGTCAGTGAGTAATGGACTGAAAGAAAGATTGAGAACTGTTAATCTAGGCATAGTAATTTTAGTACTGCATATACATACATAGTTGTTTTCCTCTGAACATGGGAAACAAAAGAAGAATACAATGTTCTAATTCAAACCCAGCTACCACTGTTGCACCCCAACAGAAGTGGGGGGGAACTTCACTACCTCTCTCTTCCCTCCCTCCCAAGGACTTCCCCACTTATTTCAGCTAACTTGCTTGCACAGTCAATATTTTGTCTTTGTGACAAGCCTACACAGCATTCTCCACCAAAACCCACCACAGCTGCAAGCATGCAGAATCACAGAATCAACTAGGTTGGAAAAGACCTTTAAGATCATCAAGTCCAACCATTACCCCAGGACCGCCAAGACCACTACATGTACACACCACCACAATCCTAACCCTACAGTCTCTCTGGAAATCAATAGCTACATCTTTGTATCAGGGTGCCAGAACAAAGCTCAAAATCAAGTTAGTCCCCCAATATAAAGGCCTTAAGAGAGACAATGTAATTAAAAGACCAGATTCTGAATTACCAGCCTAGCAGTATTACTGTGTAAATGCCCATGTTTTCATACATAGGGAATAGAGGCACAATTCCATCAGTCCCAGTGTTACCAACCAACATGAATTTTCCCTTCCAGTAAATCTTACCACTTCCTACAACAGAAATTGAACACAATTTTGAGCCTTTGTTTCAGCAGAGCTAGCAAGAAATACTGCTTCCAATTCATGCTGACTGCTGCATATACAATGATGACTGTTGTTCCTGAGTGTTTGTGCAAGCTCTAACAACCCTCCACTATAATGGTTTGGTCAAGACCAGACACACAGAGGTTTTAGTGGTTTATTTTTTACAAGGAAGGTTTATATACTGTCTATTGTTGCAGGGAAAATGAAAAGACAAAGGTGGAAGAATAAAAGGAAAAGAAAATAAAAAGCAAAATGATGAATTCAAAGAAATATGGTAAAGCATTAGGCACCAGACTGCAATTTGGATTGCAAATTATTTTTTTTTAATAAAAGAATACAAAGCCTGAGAAATAAGCATTTTTTTAGTACCTTTTAAAAATTATCATTATTAAAAAAAAAAACCAGCAAGTTCAATCACTACTTACAACCCCAAATTCTCAATTTTGGGGATAATAGCATTTGGGTAATTTATTAAAGGTTGAAGATTCCTTACATATTACCTATTCCCCTAATATCATCAGTGCAGGATATGGAAAATAGGGAAATCATTTTGCACAGTTTTGTGAAATATTTCTCCTAGCTTAATCTTCTGTACCTCAACCATGTCAAATATGCCCCATACCCAGGGAACAAGGGGAAGGGAAGGAAGCTGGGAGAACACAGAACCACACTGACCCAGTATAATGCCTAAAAAAGGGCAGTAAATATAGGAGGGGGATTGTATTTGCAGCTAGGCAATGAGGAAGGACAAGTATCTGTTTGGAGGACAGATTTCTTCACCTTTATCCTAGAGTTTTACATGGTGTACTGTGTGCTGGCATGATACCTTCCTAGGACAAGTTGTTCAGTCTATCTCTTTATAGTTAAAGAATATCCTTTTCTTGTTTTGAACAGAGCGATGGTACAAAATGGAAGAAGGACCTCTGAGATTTCCCAGTTTGCCCTGCCACTGACCCATTGTTTTAATCTAAGATTATCACTAGGCTTGAGATGGAAGTTTCGGTTTTACGGGTGCTTCACATGGTTAATGGCAAAACAGAAAAGAAACACGTGGCTCCAATACTAAGAAAGGGGACCTACTGGTTCTCGATTTGTACTATGTGGAAAGTGTTTCTCCCCTCTCCTTTTCAGAGAGCCCTAGGAAGCCAGAACCAGATGAAGTTCCTATTTGTGACTTAAGTCCTTCAGTTTTTCCATTTCCGTGAGGCATCCAGCCTCTTCTCTGCTTGGGAGAAGCCCAGAGACCATTCCTCACCAGGTAGCCCTGAAGTCCCGCAAAAGGAAGTTTGAAGATGTGCATTTTGATGGATGCACACCCTTCACCTTCAAACCTAAAGCCAGACATTAATACAATTGCAGTGAACTGAGATGAAAAGGCTATCAAGGAGAAAAAATGCTAAGCAGATGGACTAAAAGGCCAACATAAGAGGAGAAACTGGGTGATGTTGGTAGGTTCAGTATCTGCTTTTGAAATCAACCTAACTGTGTTTGTTTGCCTAGCAAGTATGTAACCCAGGCCAGAAGGTTTGCTGGTATATAAGAAAATAACTCAGCTGCATGTAACTAGAAGCTCAAAACATCAATACTTCCCTCTAAACAAGTGCAAAGTGGGAAGACATATGGAAAATAATTTCCAATTACCAAGTTTCATTTGCATACCACTGCCTGATGATGAAAAATCCTGAAGTCTCAAAACTAAGAAAACCTCACTGACCATGGAGGTCAACGAGAGTTTTGTCTCCAATTGTAATAGCTGGGCTCTCATTAACTTACTAATGTAATTCAATCAACAGTCAAGAAGGCAAAGCAGAAATGAACAAAAAAATCCTTGCTGTGTTGCTGGAGCTCTCATGCTTCCCTCATGCAGCCACCCAGTTTTGATTTGTGGCTCCACAAAGTGCACAGCACTGCTGCTAGCAGGTAAACAGAAGCATTACTGAGTTCAGCAAAGGGAACTTGAGAGACCATAAAATAAAGCTGTCTTCTCCCAGGTGCTGCAGGGATCACAACCTAAGAATCAGAGAAATGATTAAAAGAAAACCACTGACCATAAGAAAAAAATAAAAATAGTTGTAATGACAGTACTCACTCTACTGAATCACAAAATATTTTATTAATTCTACCAACGATTTCATCAGTCCAGCCCACACAGACAAAACTTCAAAGGTGCTCACAAACTCATTCTATCTACATTGGTTTAGATAGACCTTGGAAGAACCTACACAGGCACCTCCTATGGGCAGAAACCCTCCCCCCACACCCTAATCACATAAATAGGTATGCCAAAATGGCACGAGCTTATACGGATTCAAAGGAAAGGCTGTAAATTTTTTATAGAAAACATGAACAAAGGCAGGTAACAAAATACATCCAAAACTTGTAGAAACAGATGCCAAGACTTCTGAGGGAAAAAAGGTTGAAATTTTCATGCTTCTACAACATAAACTTACTGTCAGCTGATACAGAAAGAAACTTTCCTTATGAGCTGAAACCCTTTTAATCAACATTGCAATGATTGATGATGGTCAATGACCAGATATGTTGCTCAACACACTGCTTGTCTGATCGAGCAAGGCAGATCCCATATAGCACAGCAGAAAATATGTTGTACCAGTGCAGATTGAACCCCATGTTTTCAATAGACTGTATGCATTGACACTCCCAACTTAACAGAAAAGGACTTCCCAGACAAAATGCAAGTTAAAACTGAAAGACAATTCTTTTTGTAGGGATATCAGCTGCTTGTCATATCCATTAGTTGCAAACCAATTTTTATCTAATCGTTTTTTATACTAACAATTTAGACATTTACAATTTAATGAAAGATACAATTTCTTAGATTCATTTTCTCTAACTGCAATTTTGAAATTTGTCAAAAGAATTACAGCTAGGTCTGATCTTGGAAGTTTTATGCATGTTGAAAATCCACATAATTTTAAGTAAGTTGTGCAGTCTGGGACACAACCACGTAACTAGACGCATGTGAATGTAAATAGCTCTCCCCAGAGCATCACCTTTAAATATTGTTGTCGTACTGCTTTAAGATGAGAAAAATCCCCATTTTACTGCAAAACCAGATTTAAGCATGTTTAGAAACTTGTCAAGTGCCATTAGCATGTAAAATTATCACAACATTTGATGTACAGTATTGTCAAGTATGTGTAATCTGTAAGCATCTAGATTGTTATTTGTGCAAATACATGCAGACCTAGTCTGCCTTCATGTGCAAATCCACACTGTCTTCAGTGACAGTTTTGTGGCAGTCACTTAGGGCAGAATCTGGCCTACACTTACCTTCTTGGTATTTAAAAGACAATAAGAATGATTAACTACTATCTTCTAAAAGGCCTGACTGCAGAATGCTTTAGTAGAAAAATAAACATTTTAAGTTATTGGCAGATAACATTAGTGCAATTGACTGCCTTACTTTCACACAGTAGATTAAAAAAATATATTGTCACTTGTGAAGAGAACCTAAGACACTTCAGAAGCAGTTATGTATCTGCCAAATAAAGAGTAAAGAAGAGGAGTGATTCTGTGGCATAACCACAAGCTCTCAATGCCTTTTAATGCTCCAGAAAACGGAATTCAAGGCTTGTAAACTAATTACAGTTCTTTCTGTACAAAAATGTATCACTTATGTGATTTTCAAAAGGCTGACTAACTGCTGAATAAAAAGAGCACATTTCCATATTCAGCTATAACCTAGACCACATCTGGATCAACTTCTTTCTTTGAAGAACCATTTCTGGTAGTCCGAGTCTGTACATGGTCGTAACAATGGTGCTGGGTTACCATTGTAAGCGTTTGACTCTGCCTGTACGCACTTCTGGGTTTGAAGATGAAACAAGGTACCATCCTACAGAAGACAAAAATAATTTTTGCTTTTTCAGATCTCAGAAATTACAAGCGTATCACTGTGTCTTAAAAGTAACAGAAGACATTCGCAACAAATAAATGTCATACATAGCCTTCTCATTGGGCCACTCAGTGAAGCCAAAAAGCGCAAGTAGAGGATCTCTGAAACTTTATCAAAAGACCCTGCTTTTAAACATATATTACCATTGCTTCAGAGTGATTTGTGTCTTGACATCTAAGCCCATAAAAGATGTGCTAACTTCACTCATTTTCATTGCCTTTTGTTACTGTGCTAGAATATGGGCAGAGAAAACCAAAGTATAGGCATTACCCAAATTCACCAGCTTATTGCACATCTTACAAGTAAAATGTAAATATTGTTAGTTAAGTGTAGATGTTGGTTATATTTTTAGCAAAGAAAATTCCCCTTTCTTCACAGAGTATATTTTTAGTGGAAAAGGCAAAAATACCTAAGCATGCCCCTTGCCTGCAGATATCTGTGGAGTTAATTGTACCTCGAGGCGAAAGCCCCTGATGCCCAGCAGTGTGTGCTTGCTCATGGCTTGCTGACAGGCTTAGCTGCTGAATGACTTTCCTGTTTCCATCGTGATAATTCAAATTTTTGAGTGGAGTAATCAATATCTCCCTCACTCATTTTTGACTCTGTGCCCACAGGAACTTAATTCTTGCCAGGCTGCTGGGAAGACTGATCAAATCTTTTATTATGCCACATCCATAAGGACAGCTTTCCAGTGCCTGAAACTTCTCTGCACAAAGCAAGAAAAGTGTGGTACTGACACCTCACACATCACTTACCTTGAAAAGTGGGGACCACTGATTTTGATTTAATGCAATAGGAGAGGAGGAATTGGAGCAGAGCAGAACGTTCAAATCACACACAGGCACAAAGTGGTCACGAGAAACAAAGAAGATTTAAAGTAATTCCTAAAGTTTCATATTCTAAAAGCTAATGGTTAGGATGCAGTGGAAACAGATGTATTCCAAAACTCTGTTTTCTCAATTATTTCCTGAAGTGCCTGAGGGTCTTTCAATATATGTAATCTTAGGGATTAACACATATGACCTTGAAAAATTTTGTTAAAAGTCAGCATTAAAAATGAAATGTCATTTATAAAGTCAGCCTTGCAAATATTTTGTTTTATTCAGTAATACCACTATGAGCTTCACTCTGGACTAAATATAGTGAATGGACAGTAGTTTTCATGGTTTTCTTTAGAATTCACCCTGCCACCTATCACCGGTGGTAGTATTCAAGCATGAAATTTGTCAGCCACAGAGCCTGTAGAGTTTAGATGCATTACGCAGACGCATTACGTAAACACACCATTTTCATACATTATGTGACCTTTTCCCTTAGCCAAATAATATCATTCCAGAACCTGACCAAGGCCATCATTTTTCATCCAATTTATTTTCTCTTGGGCATCCAGGAACTCCTTCAGAGATTAAAAACTAAACACAATGTTTTCTAAGATCCCATAATATACTCCATACTTCTCGGTATTTCTCCCTTCTGGGAGTAGGCATTAAGGCTGAAAGAGAGAAGTATGGATTTGCTGAGTATACACAGTCAGTAAGATGTGTCCTGTGTAGGGGGCAGGAGTAGGGCAGAAGGTATTTTTTGATGGTGCAGCAAAGTACCCAATGGCACATAACACTGCAGAAGAGCTCAGGGAGCACTTCTGGTGCACATTGGGAGGCTCACAAGAGATGGTTTGAAGAGGAGAAGCAGCAGCTCTCAAAAGCAGGGAACAGTGTATAGTAATGGTGGCATGTGAAGTATCAGGGATATATGGGAAATAAAAGAAGTCAACAAAAGAGCAGAGGTAGACCAGCCACAAA